TTTGGAAAGTGGGCTCGGAATGTAGGTTTCAAACATTCTTCTTTTCTTAACGTGATTAACATTCAGAATTTGAGGAAAGTTCTATTTTTAAAATCTGGAAAATAACCTGAATATAACTGAGAAGACTGCTCTCTTGGACGTGGTTCAAATGAACTGCTTCCACTAAAATTCGCTGTTGGTATGTAAAAATTCTAACATTTTGCAGAGTGATTTTGCCACTTTTTCAAAAAGAATGTAATTAATGGATATTTAATGTGAAAAGATATTTCTCTCTATAATTTCTCAAGGGGTTTTATTTTGAGCTACATGCTTAAACTCCAAAATTTTAGCAAATACATTACGCTTTCTGTTCCTAGTAAATGAAAAATCGGTGCCAGCTCATGTGACAAGGACATGGGCTCAGCATCAACCTCATATTTCCTGCCTGCCTACATCTCAGGCCAAAATAAAAGTAGTATTTCTCTAATTCATACTTACCTCTCACGAGAAAATAACCACTTATACCAATGTCTCACTTAGCTGAATTTTTGCATATAAAATACATATAGTAATATTTAGGTTGAGGTTTTCCTGCAGCAGTAAAGATAGAATAAAATATTGCAAACATATCACCCTCTCACAGAAAAATAACAACTATCCAAAGTGGTGAATTAGTTTTAAAATTAAGCAGTTTAAGTCATAGGGTATCGTTTTAACCATTTAGAAATCATTAATAAGCTCATGAAACTGTACAAATCCTTAGAAGTCTATGTTTATAATATAACACAGTATATCTTAGGAAAATGTTCTCTTTGCAGTTGGAAAAAGTTGGTATACATCGGATGCAGAAGCCTAAGAATCTAAATGTTCACGAAACACTTCAAAATGTAATTATTTTGCAAAATGACACAGGGTATGGAAACAGTAAAAACAGAAAATCTAAATACAGTAAAAACATATTTAACAATACATACATGCTGACTGACATGTGGATGTATGTATGCATGCTTGCATACATACACACACACACACACACACACACACACACACACACAAATGAATGAATTAGTCACTCTCATCCGACTGAACACCAGGCACTACAAACAGGTTTGTGAACAACTTCCAGAACAATAAACTGACGTGACTATTAATAACAATGAATGCATTCAAGTAACGGTTGAAGAAAATGTCTTTCAGCTGTCTATGTCCTCAGTCACTGCCAATTCTTTAGTAAACATAAAACAATTTGTTATAAACTCCAGCATGAAGATGACAAATCATATCAGAGAATCACTCAAGTCTGTCCTTATCACTCTATCAATGACTTAAAAGAATTTCCTAACATATAACAATTGAAAACAGAAAATGTGGCCAGGTCTCAGCAAAATATTTCTTTCTACTACAGGATCTTATACTCCGCCTGAATGGGCTATGGCAAGGAAAGAAGCTATAGCTATCTGAGTTTAGAAAATGACTGATTTCTGTAGAGTATAGAGTCACCATCCCATCTAAAGCAGAAGCTTCCCAGCTATAGGACTAACTGGGTTTGAAGACAGATCTTCAACTTAGAAAGAATACATATTCTACAGGGTGTGCTTCTGGTGACGATATTGCTTCCAACTTGAATGCAGGTTTCCATTGGACCAATACTACAAACAGTGGTTACATTTTCATCTGCGACCACAAGAGCTAAGAAACTTGACTTTGAGCACCAATGGGTCCATGTGAAACACACCCTAAATGCACTGGTTAGCTCAACAAATGCTGACCTTTGATCCAGGGTGAGCAGGTATTCTAAGATCACACGTGTTGTAGAATATTATTTTAGGGCGTGTTACTTTTGTTTGTGCTCTGGAGCAGCAAAGATGTGCTTGATTAAATAAAATTCACGTGCAGATGGAAGGCAGTGTCAGCCACTAGCTGACCAGGTCTAGTAAGGTGAGCATCCAAACTGCCTAGGCTCCCACAAAGCCAATACGTGCAGTAGGATCAAAAACCCATTGCCATTGTTCTTGAGTTCTCAGTAGTCCTCATTGTCCGCTATGTTCAGCGAGACCGGTTTTAACCCAGGCCTTTTCAGACCCAGGCTAAATGATCCTAAGCATGAGGCTATCAGAGTTTGCAAGTGACTATGTATATGTGTATATTCTTATAGATCTTAGAATGCATGAACTGCAATATTATAAAACTAAAACTGAGGTTGGGGGTGTATTTCAGTTTGTGAGAGCTTGCTTATCTTGCATGAGGTATGACACTCGGCACTGGCTCGGCCAGGTGGTTGGCTCACAGTAATCTCAGCACACAGGAGGTGCAGGCAAGCGAGTCATAACTTTAAGTCACCCTAGTCATCTAGTGATTTCAAGGGCAGCTTGGGCAAGGAGTTTTCTCAGAGAAGCCATCCATAAATGTCCAACGTTTGTAGCAACTTTGTGTTTTCCTTCATAAGACTTAAAATTAAATAAACAGAAAATCAATTAACACCAAAATTTTAAAGCAGAAATCTCTGTCCAACATGGGTTGCCTGGCCAGAGATAGATTGGTAACAGATAAAATAAATACTCTGAACAACACTAGCATTTAAAAAAAATTGTGTACAATAGTGCACGAATGATAGTAATCAAATAAAAAGTTATTTTAATAACAAAATTCACACCTAACAGATGTTCATATATTTATATATGTAATGTATATTTATTGCATGTAAGTGTAGTCAAAAAGTAGAAAAGGGCACTTAGTTTATAGTAATGTGAAAGTCAGTTTGCCAGTTCTACATACACACAAATGTAGTGGGAAAAGATATATTAAAGTAAATCACTTTTGCTTAAATAGAGCTCTGCCAACTATTATGCTGTAGAACTCGTGTAAAGTTGTTGAATTTCAGCTCCCAATGGAAGGAAATGAGGGCAAATAATAGTATCTCATTTCCTTAATTGCTTTCAGTTATGCAGAAAGTGTTTAAAGCATTGCTTGCTCAATGTAGTCACCATTGATGACAACTGGTTCATATGTTCTAATGTCATTTTTATTATTACTTCTATAAAAGCAGCCCATTTAAATATGATGGGGAAAAGACAATAAGATGGCTCAGCAGGTCAAGACACGGGCCACCAACCCAGACAATCTTGAGTTCAAGCTCAGGGACTCCCACATCCCGCAAGCTGTCCTCTAACACCTGGGCAGTGCCATGTGCACTCCTGCACATACCCACATACCCTTGCACACTAAATTAATTTAAATGAAGTCAGTTAAAGCGTCGTACAAACAAGGACAGACAGTTCACGGGTGTCACTGCTCAGAACCAGATCTCCCGGGTGCTTCATAAGGGACATCTGAGAAAGTCAAATGATGGGGAGAGAGCTGTTCCACAGATCCTCTTCTTGGAGGTGACAAGGACAAGAAAATAGGTGCACAGTTAGCATAGCGAGAGCACAGAACCCCGGGTCCACTCTGAGCAGTAGGCCCGTATTCATGTATTCAGGTTTCTACAAAAGTCTCCAAAGTTAGTGCCGTTATGCTATTTACAAATGAAGAAACTGATTAAAAAAAAAAAAAGAGGTTGATTGATATGCCCAAGACATAAAGCAAACGAGAGAAATCTAGATTCAGCTCCTTGCTAGCTTGCTAAAACCCATCTTGATAGCATAAAATATGAGGATTTTACTCATTAATTCAACAAAATAGTAAATTATCAAGTAAGTCGCTCCTGTTTGGAATTACTAAAACCTTCCTTGAGAAGCTCAGGCTCCCTGGAAATAAATACAAATCCTCACACACTTTTCTACTTACTAAAGGGGAGACGCCAGTTACTAACCACTTACCGCATAGGGCTAAGTGTTTTACATTGATTGTTTCACCTAAGTCGATTCTCAGAGGAGCACCAGGTTCTATTACAGAACTAGCATCTCCTAAAATCTAGGGTTTTTAGCTTCAAGAACTATGAGACTTAGAAGGATTGGGATGCATTTTTAGTTGTTTTTCTGTAACTGGATACTTTACATTCTTCAAGGGTTCCCTTGGAATAGTATGGAAGAACAGGGGAAAGCTGGGAGGCACTGGGCAGCTAGAGAAACCTTCTTAGGCAGTTGATATCTTGAAAAGTAAATATTACTCTTTCCATCTAAGGAGATAGAGACATCAGACAGACGGAAAAGCATATTCATATTCATGAGACCAAGAGGCACCTATAATAGTGACATTATAAAAGCCACTCTGCCTGAGCAAAGCAGGGGTTGGGAGGAAGACACGGTGAGCTTATATGATGTAGCTGGGTGGGGTGCACTTTGCACTGAGGGAAATGAGGGGCCAAGGAAAGAGATTCAATATATACACTTTCAGGAACCGCAATGGGCCACAGGGTGGAGTCTGTGCTGAAAGATGGTAAGAGGACACTGTCCAGAATCTTCTCAGCTAGAGGAGATGTTCTTCAGCACTTGAGAATCACGCTGGTGATGGGTGAGCCTTTCTAAAATAGATACTTAACTTGGAAAGAGAGATTAGAAATTAGTCTTAAAAGTACGTACTGAAACAATTACTTTTTTTTCCATTTTGTCTGACATTAGCTTTCTTTGTATAAAGGATGGCAGACTTGTTTTCTGAATCGATTTCTCTTGTATTATTGAACGAGCATTTCATATGCAAACAACGGTTATGGTTTGATCCTCTCTGAGAAGCAAAGGGTATTATACTTTGTAATTCTCAGAAAAATTACAAAATGTTATGTGTCCTATTTTTAATGATTTCCTGTCTTTAACAGAAACCAAACTCTTCTTTTTTCAAAGGTATCTATTTTTCTATCTATCTATCTATCTATCTATCTATCTATCTATCTATCTATCTATCTATCATCTGTCTATCTTTTATTTCTTTGGGGTATTTCTTTTGAAATAGTGTTTCATGAAGTCCAGGCTGTCCTTGAACTCTTTACACTGTCACGGTGGCCTCAAACTCGAGCTTTGCCTGACTTAGCCTCCAAGTGCTGGGATTCCAAGCATGCTCAACCACACCAGGCTAGTTATCATTTTGTATGATAAAAACCAAAATCTTATTCTTTGCAGAACAACCAAAAAACACCACTTAATAAAGTCAATTCAAATATCAGTTTTCATAGGAGCCAAACAAAGTGCAGCTAAGATGCAATTATCTTACCAAAATAGCTTTTATAAGAAAAGCCAATGCACATGATTCTTTAACACTGCACATTTTCAGAAGCTTGAAGAGTACAATGGCATTCAAGAAAATGGTCCCTCAGCATTTACCTTGGTTATGATCCTATAAGTGATGAAAGTTTCAATTGTAGTGACATGGCTTTCAGGGGCATCAACTGTAATGAAGAGATCCTTTAGATCTGGTTCATCTTCAAACTTGACTTGGTTTATCATCGACAAAGGGGAAGTTGGCATCATAGGGCTGAAGGAGTTCATGTCCATTAGTGAGGCATCCTAAGGAATAAAGCATTTATGAAGTTAACACCAGGCACTGGCAATAAGGCTCAGTTGAAAAGGGCCTGTACACAAGCGTGAGGACCCGAGTTCAGATCCCCAAGGACCCACATAAAAGCTAGATGCCATGGTGCCCATCTATAATCCCAAGACCAATGAGAAAGACAGAGGTGATTCCCTGGGGCTCCTTGGCCAGCCATCCTAGCTGAATAGATTAATTCCAGGTTCAGTGAGAGAGACCAAATCAGAAAAATAAGAGACCTATCAAGGAATACATTCAATCATCCAATGCTGACTTCTGATCTCCATATGAATATATATACACACACACAATGCACACTAATTCACACATATATGTACATGTATGTACAGACAATACATATAACACACCCACTCATACAAAAACTGACTTCAAAATAAATAGTAACAATTTTCAATTTCTAAGATACTACCAATAATCACTAAAATATAGCAAAAGCAAAAAGGACTCCTGGTATCATAGTTGAATATGTATGCTAAGTCCTTATTTTTATGTGGCTATGAAACATTTATAGCTCAGCGGTTAAGAGCACTGCTGCTCTTCCAAAGGTCCTGAGTTCAATTCCCAGCAACCACATGATGGCTCACAACATCTGTAATGAGATCTGGTCCCCTCTTCAGTAAGAGACCTGGTTAGTCGTCCTCATCAACATAGGCCATGAAGCTGAATATAGACAATTTCAACAGAACCACCATATACGGGGTGCCCATGCGTGTTTCAGCATTGCCAGGGCATAAATATAATTTATTCATTCATGAAACATTTAATCTATGCTTGCTCATAAATTCTACCTAAAAATGATGAGAGAAAGAAGAAGCTGTAAAATTTCAAGATTCCACTGCTTTGAATGTTCGCATTATCTCTAAAATACAATAACTCAATAGTTTTAAGAGACAGAATTGAGTTACTTTGGTTAGCTTTGGTAACCTCAGAATGAGGCTGGGACAGGGATGACTAACTAGCCACTTTACTTTCTTCTTTCTACATGAGAGGACAGAGAAAAGACAAAATAAAATAAAACACCATTGTAGAAACAGAGTAGTTAGTCCAAGGCACCAAACCCATCAACACTTTGACCTTACAGAACTAAGAGGAATTGATTCTTGTTCCAAAATGGTTCTGGAATTAGAAGCACCAGAAGTTGAACGCAGAGGTGGGAGTTGAGCTATAATCCAGAGAAACTGTTTAAATTTAAATCAAACAAAAGTTAGGGTCTGGAAGTTGGCCCAGTTGATAAAGAACTCTCCATGCAAATGTAAGAACTGGGATTTGAACTCATAGCACTCATATCCAAGCCAGAAAGGTAGAGCATCCATCTACAAACGTTCAGCAAGAGGAAATGCTTGGTTGAAACAACAGATGAGGTGTCACGTGGTCACAATCATTGCCAAGACAAGGATAACAATGGCTCTCAATAATAAGAAGGTGCAGGCTGTTGTAATCACAAAATAGACTTGTGAAGGATAAACAGGGCAGATTTGAACCAAGTATACAGGGAGAATCTCCTGACTAGTTGCACAAAAAGTTCAAAACAAGAAATCCCCCAAAACAAAAGCTTAATGAGGTAATTTCTATCTCATGACAGGTACAATAAACTGTACCCAAATGACATAATAAAATAAATTATCAAAATGATCAAAGCAGCCGGGGGATTGTGGCACACGCCTTTAATCTCAGCACTTGGGAGGCAAAAGCAGGTGGACCTCTAAGTTCGAGGTCAGCCTGGTCTACAAGAGCTAGTTCCAGGATAGGCTCCAAAGCTACATGGAAACCCTGTCTTGAAAAACAAACAAAAGCAAACAAACAAGCAAACAAAAACCGATCAAAACAAGTTATATTACGTTTTATACACTTATTTTTATTTTAATTCTGTATCGTGTGTGTGCGACTATGTATGAGAATATGCACATGTGAGAGCTGGGGCCTGCAGATGCTTTTAGAGAAGTTCAGATTCCCCCCGAGCTACAGTGACAGGTGGTTGTGAGCCACATGCTGTGGGTGCTGGGAATAGTAGCTTGGGTCTTCTATATCAGTACTACACACTATTAACCACTCAGCCAGCTCTTCAGCCCAGTGTAATACTTGGGGAAAATTTCACGGTGCATTACTAAAAAGGAATTTTTCATAAAGCATGTGCCCAACTAAATTCCAATGTTTATTATATGTCTGGAACAAAGGGGAGAAGAAAATGGAAGGGATAGGGAATGAACTTAGAAACCATATAGAAAAAAAATAAGTTAACACAAGGGGTTTCAGACATTGGAACATTTCATGCTATTGCAGCTACCCAAGATCCAGCTAACCTTTTGTGGTTGGTGAGTTTGGGGAGAAATGGATCCTTAGTATTTGTTCTTCTCTAAGAAAGATGTTGTTCTCGGTATGTGTATGTATATATACATATTCTATGTGAAGTTTTTTATGTTTTTTGACTATCCTAAAATCAATATACTTTTTTTATAATCAGAAAATTATATTAAAATTGTTAGAGTCATCATAGTAAATGCTAATGTTCCGAAGGAACAGCAATCCTGATTGCAAGTTGGGACAGTTGTCTAGGGGCCATGTGGCAAGAGACTTTGGTTAGAATTTGGTTAGTTTTCTTTTTTCAACTCATCAAGGTTTACATGGCTAAAGAAAAGTGTTAAAGTATTGCAACAAAAAGGATAATTGTCTAAAGTGAAATAAGAAATTCTACATAATAGAATCCTAAGAAGCCATGAAGAGAACTTAGAGCTTCCAAATAAGTACTCCACCAGTATGTATAAAAAAAAAAAACTCCCTCACAACCCTTCCAATACAAATAGTAGTTTTCTAAACTGACAACTTTTAATTTGGTAGGCAAATGTCCTTTAAATTTCCCTGACACTGCAGGCAGCCCCGTGCTCCCGCTTTCTTTGTGTCCACCCACGCTGCTCACCACCACCCACTTCTTTTACCTACTTCGTAATTTTGTGTTCTATTTCCTCTGCTTAAAATGCAGCTTTTTGTAGAGTGGGAAGGAGCTGGGTTGGCTTACGAAGGCTCATAATTCCGCTGAATACAATGTGGTGTCATAAAAACATGCTTCCATATCCAGCAAAGGAAGAAAATTATAGGCTGAGAATTCAGCAACATACAAGATTTCAGTAGAAGGATTTAAATTACTACAGATCCCTCAAAAACATTCTCAAAACTTCAATAAAACCAACATGTTTTAGATTTGTTCTCCCCCACAAAAAAATGAAAACAAAATATGCTGACATGACTTAAAAGATGTACCTTGACATAAATAACTGAGGAAAATATGTGTTTGAAAAGATACACAGAAGCAATTACTCCATTTAACCTCCTGTGGTTGGTGAGTTTGGGGAATGGATGGTTAACACATGCTCTAACAAAGAATTCAACCTCCACCAGTTCTTTCCCCTTTTCCTTCCTTCTCTGTCAACTTTGAAACATGAGCATTATCTTACAGTCTTTTAAGCATTGGAAAAGAGCTTTTTACTTTTTTAATTTTTTTTTCTCCCAGACATGACAGCAGAAGGGACATGATCTCTATGACAAATCTCTTCTTGAATTATATTTAATACCATCTCCTTTGCCAAGTCAATGAACACACACACACACACACAAAACCAAGAAAAACAAGATGTGAATATATAATAAAGAAGAAAGCTTACTTAGCACATTGCTAAAATCTCTTGCATTCTGTCTTTACTCCAAAGCAACAGTCCACTCATTTTCAGAGAGAACACTTGAGCAACTTCTGAATCGAATGTTCTGGAATGGCCAAATCATCCACAGACTTAATGCAGGTTGTGCTGTTGCTATTCTTGGTTCTTTAACTGTTTCTGTTACCATTTCAATCATGCCCCCCCCCCATCCTTAGTCTCAGAGGTTGAAGACCTACACCTAGCACCTTTGAATGTGACTTTATTTGGTGAGGGTCTTTGTGTGCTTGTGCATCGTGTGTACACGGGAATGCACTTGTGTGGGGTACAAACGTGTTTGAGGGTCTGAGTAATGGAGGACAGAGGACAATAGGTATCATTCCTTGGAAGCTAGTTACCTTTTTTTTAGACAACATCTCTCTTTGTCTCAGACCTCTCCAGGGAAGCTAGGCTTACTGACCTGGGAGCACCAGGACCTAGGTATAGACCGGTCTTTATCCCCCTATGGCTCTATGCATGTAAACAGACCTAGCTTTTTCTTCTGCCTTCCCTGTCTCTTTGCCTCCCTGCCTCCCTCTTTCTTTCTTTCTTTCTTTCTTTCTTTCTTTCTTTCTTTATTTCTTTCTTTCTTTCTTTCTTCTTTCTTTCTTTCTTTCTTTCTTTCTTTCTTTCTTTCTTCTTTCTTTCTTTCTTTCTTTCTTTCTCTCTCTCTCTTTGGTAAAAATGGGCTTTGGGGAATCAAACTAAGATAGAACAACTGAGCTATCTCTCTACCCCTGACAAGGTCTTTATAGAACTAATTATATTGAAAGAAGTTCATTTGGTCTAGGGTGCCTGCACTGATCCTGTAGATGTGAGTTCAGACACTAGTACCCACATTAAGTGACTCACAACTGCCTGGAACTCCAGCTCCAGGAGAATTTAACACCTCTGATTTCCATGGGAACCCACACCATCACCTCCATCCTCCAACCCCCTCAAACACAAATCCACCCTACACACAACTAAAGATAGTAAAAATGAATCTTTATAAGTATAATAAGGTCATTAATGTGACACCTAATATAATATAATTGATATTTCTGTAAACTGTATTCAATAAAATGGGGAAACATATATGGTGGGGAAAAAGATGAAGAAATACAAAGATAGCTATGAATAAGCCCAGGTGAGGGGCATGGGATAAGTCCTTCCCTCACAGCCCAAGAAGGAAGCCTTACTCTTGAATTAGTGGCCTTCAGACCTGGGAATGTACCATTTTCTGTTGCTGACATGTCCAATGTATTGAAAATTTGTTATAGCAGCACTGG